TGTGTAGTAGTTAACCCCAGAGGTAGTCAGCGTGACTACCAAAAAATTGGCATCTCCACAGCCAACACGGAGAAAAACAATTATTGCCTGCAGAAGGCATGAAGCATATGAGAATTATTTCCAAAGAAGTGTTTTTCCTCACCAAAGGAAGCATGGGCATTTTACTTAGGGAGTCTGAACATGCTCATGTTAGGTCCTCCTGGTTGTTGTGAAAAAAATACCCGGCTCTAGATCCTGACCCGGGGAGAGGTGTGGGGTGCCTACCAAGCCCGACGACACTAATGTAACGTTAAAATAAAATGCTGCAGGTCCCCCCCCCTCCCGTGGTGGCAGTTGGAAGCTGGCCATGAGACCATGCCACAGGTCCCCCAGTGGGCAGCAGGTCCTGAGACCACAACAGGCCTTGAAGGAATCCAGTTCCAGGCAGGGAGCCACAAGGTGGGTTAGAGACTGAGGTGGATAGACATGCCACAAGACCACATCGCTGTTCTCAGAAGGCAGCCGGTTCTGTCATAATATAGGTCTTTGCTTCCGGTACATTACAGGAAAGCTGTCAGTGCAGAGCCTGGCGCATGGTAATTTTTCATTTAATGTGAATATTATTATTGTCATGTAATAAGCATTTTAACTTTTAAATGCCTTTTAAAATAGCATACCAGATGGAATCCTAACAACAAACTTACTGATGCAATGGCAGAAGAATATTTGGGTGTTTGGAGACAAGCTAGCTGTTCTGAAGATTGTGGGAGCTGGTGGGGTAGCCCTGAGTTCAAAACTGGCAGGCGCAATATCCTAAGGTGGGTCAGGCTGAGGGGCCTCCCTGAGGGACTTGTCCACTTGAGACCCCACGTTCCTTGCCCTGTCCCATGCGGGTCCTGCAGATGTGATGAGGACTGAAAAGATTATGCCTTGTATCTTTGCCCTTTGCATGCCACAGGCTGTGGGGCAGGTTTGGTCTTTTTTTTTTTTTTTTTTTTTTTTTTGGTTTTTCGAGACAGGGTTTCTCTGTGGCTTTAGAGCCTGTCCTGGAACTAGCTCTGTAGACCAGGCTGGTCTTGAACTCACAGAGATCCACCTGCCTCTGCCTCCCAAGTGCTGGGATTAAAGGCGTGCGCCACCATCGCCCAGCTCAGGTTTGGTCTTTTACTTGTCCTGACTGCCTATACTGAAAAATGAGGTATCTCCTTCCAGTGTTGCTGGATAGCCTTTGATCCCTCCCTCCATCTACCTAACTTTAAAAAAAGGCTGCTTACTTGGAAGGGCATGAGATTCCCCAAATGCACGCAAGGGATATTTTACATGCTCACTTCAGCCACATGAATTTTTTTTTTTGTAAGGATTTTCTCTTCTCTTCCTTGCTTTTTACAATAAAGACACTAGTCACCATTTTGATATTAAAATACAGCTGTAAATAAGACAGTAGTGGGGCTGGAGAGATGGCTCAGTGGTTAAGAGCATTGCCTGCTCTTCCAAAGGTCCTGAGTTCAATTCCCGGCAACCACATGGTGGCTCACAACCATCTGTAATGAGGTCTGGTGCCCTCTTCTGGCCTGTAGACATACACACAGACAGAATATTGTATACATAATAGATAAATAAATATTTAAAAAAAAGGGGGGACAGTGCCTAAACCAGAGGTAATGTATTTCTGTCTCCTAAATGTTAACTCAGTTCAAATCTGTCATCTATCAAGGATGGCCAAAACACCACTCTCAGTTTACAGAGAGAAGCTTTAGACTTGTCAATAGAGCTATGGGTTGTAAAGTGAAATAGTCCACTTTTAATTTAATTAATAGTTAATCGTCAAGCTGCTGAGAAAGCTGCTAACAGTCTGTCCTCATTCTCGTAGACTTACAACTTTCTATTTCTTTATTTCTACATTCTTATTTTTGGAATAATCATTTTGATATTCTTATTCTCAGGCTCTTTATTTCCTCCTTTGGATTTGCAATGTGAATTAAATCTTTGATTTATTTTTGATTAAAGTCTCTGACTTGGCCTTTCTCTAGCTCAGTCTAGGGACAGGGATGATATATTCTTTTTCTGTAGCTGCTTCAAGCTGAAATGGGGCATAGATGGCCAGGGACCAGGAAGGCTGGAAGGCCACTCAAAGGTAAAGTGGGAATCATGGGCACTAAACAGGAAAGTCTGGTCTGACCCAGCTGGAGACCAGCTGCATTCTTGTCAATTGGATCAGTCCATATCAGCTTTTAGCAATTCCAGGGCTCATGAGATTGTAGTCAACAGTGGATGCTTGGTTGTGTCTGTCAGCCAGTTGAAACCCTGCTAGACAGATGAAGACCAGACAGAAGCATTAAATTTTAAAACTTTAATGGAAAAATTACAATGGAAACTTTTAGGGAAGTAGCAAAGTCTTACGACAGGAGAGGGAGAGTTACATCTTTAGGAACAGATAGGTAGGGAATTTGAGGTTGTACTCATCTGGAGTCCTTTGGATCTGTGAGAAGTGGATTTTAGTCTCAGGACTTCTTCAGTACGCTGAAGCTTGCATGAATTTTTAAGTTATGAAAGGATATAAGTTTTAGACATATTAACACCTCCTTGTTTATAATCTGTACTGCTATTTACATTGCAAAAATGGCAGTATACTCATGCCAGATATGAATCTGGTTGAAAATGTTAAATTTTTTTAAAAAAATATTTATTTATTTATTATGCATACAATATTCTGTCTGTGTGTATGTCTGGAGGCCAGAAGAGGGCACCAGACCCCATTACAGATGGTTGTGAGCTACCATCTGGTTGCTGGGAATTGAACTCAGGANTACATGGAAGGAATGTTGTATACATAATAAATAAATAAATAAATAAATAAATAAATAAATCTTAAAAAAAGAAAAGAAAAGAGAAAAAGAGTTAAGCTGAAGAGGCATTTTTAAGATCTAGAACTGAATAAACTTGAAGCTCCCAAGAGATGGTGCTCAGGGGGCTGGAGAGATGGCTCAGTGGTTAAGAGCATTGCCTGCTCTTCCAAAAGTCCTGAGTTCAATTCCCGGCAACCACATGGTGGCTCACAACCATCTGTAATGAGTCTGGTGCCTTCTTCTGGCCTGCAGACATACACACAGACAGAATATTGTATACGTAATAAATAAAATATTAAAAAAAAGAGATGATGCTCAGGAGAGTATAGGGGTTGGGAATTGTAACATGATTATCTTTAACCCATTAATTATTCTCCCTATGATCTTGCATGGGTACAAATTCACTGGTCCCTAGCTTTTTAACTGGAGGCTGGCAAGACCTCAGGATTCCATGCTCCAGGAACTGATTGATATATTTAGTAATGCTCAACTTGGCCTCTGGGGTCATGGGGTACTGCCTCACCCTCACCTCTTGGGCATTGGCTTTTAAGGTTACTACAACTGGGGGCTCCTGAATCGCTAGTCCTGGTGGATTAGTTTCCACACTCCTGGGATGGAGTGCTGGTGTTCAGCCATTAGAGGAGAGGCTTCTAAAGTGAGTGTCTGTTAGAAGAGCCTGTATTCTTTCAGATCTAGACATAAGGCACAGACTTCAGGCCATGGGGAGATCGTCACCCCTTTTCCAATAAAATGAATTTGGGCTTTCATTTTAGCCAATAAATCTCTTTCCAGGAGGGGGTAAGGGCATTCAGGGATAACTATAAAGGAATGAATAACTTTCTTCCCAATACCATGGGCTGTTTTGTGTCCATGGTTGCAGAGCCATCCTCGTATCCCCTTGAACCCACATTTGTTTGTCTGACAGAGGCCCCAATAGAGTTTTTTAATATTTATTTATTTATTATGTATACAATATTCTTCCTGTGTGTATGCCTGCAGGCCAGAAGAGGGCACCAGACCTCATTACAGATGGTTATGAGCCACCATGTGGTTGCTGGGAATTGAACTCGGGACCTTTGGAAGAGCAGGCAATGCTCTTAACCACTGAGCCATCTCTCCAGCCCCCCAATAGAGTTTTTAACACTGAATTGTGAGCAATCGTGTCCACTAGGAAATCAACAGTTTGCCCCTCCACTTTTAGGGTTACCCAAGGCTCAAGGGGAGGCTTCAAACCTTTCAGCTCTTTCAGGCTTCTGGATTTGGCAATTTTAGGACTTTTTGTCCATTTTCTTCTTTGTGGGCATTATTGCCTGTTGGCTATTTGGGACAGTCTGTGTTCCCTCTGCCCATCAGGTCTCCTGCTCTTATCTGCCAGTAAGACTTTTGTCAGTCCCTGAAATTGTTTATCCTTAGGTGTTTTTCTGTTGTTATAAACCTTAGTGGCTAAAGCAATCAATTTACTCCGAGTTTTACCTTCAAGTTTTTGAGTTGCTGAAACTTCCTCTTACTATCTGGGACTGCTTGGTTGATGAAAGCCAGGTTGACTGCCATTTGGTTCTCAGGAGCCTTAGACAGAAAGGTGGGCTGTCTAGCATGTGCTTCAAGATCACCTCCTTAATGAATGCCCCATCATTAGTGGGTCAACCATCTCATCCTGGAACCTGCTTACAGCATTTTTGCTGAATTCTATCTCTTTTATTCAGGAGGGCAATCAACCCCCACATCTGGGAATGTGTATACAGGACAGTATCTAGGAGATATATTAGCACTTGGGGTTTCTCAGTAAAGGAAGGAGTCTGAAGTTTCCAGTTATACAGATCACTAGTTGAAAGAGGACATAAAACAGGTGAGAGCTGCCATCCTCATCAGGAGGTCCCAAAGTGCAGGAGAGAGAGAGAGAGAGAGAGAAAGAGAGAGAGAGAGAGAGAGAGAGAGAGAGAGAGAGAGAGAGAGAGAGAGAGCGCACGCGCACGGGAGACACCTTCTCCCTCCACCCACCACCTGTGGCTTCCCTAAACATGTGTGAAGTGGGCTCAGCAAGCACCTAAGTAGCAAGTTGGGAGCAGGAGGAGGGGAGGGAGTGTTTCTCTGCAAGAAAGTAGAAGGTCTTTCTTTAGTAGCTCCAGCTTCACAGGGGCAACAGAGACTGCAGTGGCCTCCTTGAAATCCTGAAAATGAGAAAGGACAAGGTCCATGGGAGCCTGAGGTTTGGAAGAAGCGTTTCCCCATAATGAAAATTCCTTCACACATGATCACAATGAGAAGACTGACAACAAATAGAACCAGAAAATAAAAATGGGGAGACAAGAAGCCAGCGGACACAGAAGAGGGAATGCTGCCTGTTGGGCCATGTCATCTCATTCCAGTTCTAACCAGAGGAGAAATGAAACCATCCCACATTTTCCTTCATCTCTGAGGTTAAAAGCATGCCCACAGGGGCTGGAGAGATGGCTCAGAGGTTAAGAGCATTGTCTGCTCTTCCAAAGGTCCTGAGTTCAATTCCCAGCAACCACATGGTGGCTCACAACCATCTGTAATGGGGTCTGGTGCCCTCTTGTGGCCTGCAGACATACACATAGACAGAATATTGTATACATAATAAATAAATAAATATTTTTTTAAAAAGCATGTCCACTATATCTAATTGAGCATCCAGACTGTCCAGACATCAGTCACCAGAACCACAAACTTACCAATGAGCAAAAACAGAATAATAAACTTTGCCAAAAACCGGAGACTGGGATGTCCCCTAAGAATGAGGTTTGCATATCCCCATACAAACCACCAAAATGTTGGGTCCAGGGGGGTCAGGCAAATATGGGGACAGACCCCCAAAGTCTCATAAACCAGAAGCATAACTTATTCTAGAAACCAGATTCTAGGGAAATCAGACGCAAACTTAAAAATAAAAATTGAAAAAAAATTAAAAAAAAAAAACATTATGGGGCACAAAAGCTTATCGGCTAGCTGAGACCACAGCCAGAGAAGGTGTTTGTTAGGCTGTAAAAAAAGGCTGCTTTCTGAACCCATCTTTTTATAGTAGATACACAGTTGATGGCTGACTATCATACTTTATTACATCTATATAAGATAAATTAAAATATTTCTTTAAATACACACATCAGGTATTTGTTTCTTATAATTTCTTTTATCAGTCATTTTAACATTAACATTGATAAGTCACTTGAAGAAACAGCACACATTGGGAGTTCATCATCTACCCTTGGACTTGTACTCAAGAGGAAAACACATAAACATCATGAGTTCAAATGTATCCCTGAATCCTTACTGACATATGAGCTAAGATGAATAACAAACAAAATTTCAAGGGAATTTGTGAAAACATGAAAATCAAAGTCAGGAACAAGAACCCACCACCCTTATGTGTAAAGCATGATCAAACATGGCCTGATATTTCAATAACCAATGGGACAATCATACGATGGAGGCTCCATTCTATACATTACAGTAGAAAAATACCTATCACTAGGTACAGGCACAACAGAAGCTGAACAAAAGTCACAGAAGGAATATAAGGACTACAAGACAAACTTCACTAAATGGATTTGCCACACACAGAGCACACTTTAGTGACTATCTCATGCTTCAAAATAGAAACCACACTGCCATGATCTCCTCCACCAGTCTGGAGTGAACATGGTACATAATTTGCTTACTTTAAGGCTATGAAGAGAAACAATTATTCTTGAAGCTAAAGACAACTGTGAAGTCTAAATTCATTAACAAACTGTTTTCATGAATAGGGATTTCTTCTTTATGAGTTTGTGCCTATTTCAGACTTCAAACTGATATAAATAGACTCAAATATAATAGATTCAAAGTGTCTTTCCTACACTGGCACTTTTTAACATTTGGCTCTGTTTTGGGGGTGATGTTGTTTCTTTAACTAGCTCTAGATTCAGGGCCAAAGTGTTTCCTTTGGATTTCATTTCAGGACCAGGGTATGTTTCTTTGAAAGGACCTTTCTCCTAACCATAAGACTTCATATATTCATAAATTAGGTTTTGGCCATCAGTTTGCTGGTGCAAACAAAATAAAGAGGTATCATAATGCTTGAACAGATCATTGACACTATCAAATTTTTCTACAGAATAAATGTTGATTAACTGACTTTAAGTGTATTGGCTTAATATCTTAAAAAATAATTTAGAATAAACCCTCAATTTCTTCTTCAGGTACCCAAAGACTATTGAAATATGGAAAAACATTATCAGACTGATCACCAAAAAGTTTTACTCCAGTATAAAGTGGAAAACAGTAGTACACTGAATTCATTTAAGAGTTTCACTACAATATGATTTTTTCTCATGATTTTGAAAACTACACTCATTAAATTCAGTTTCTCTCCAGGAGGGTTTATTTCATGTAGTTGGAGATTATTGTGACAAAGGATTTACCACACAAATTACATTCACAGTTTCTTTCCAGAATGTGTACTTTTGTACATTTGAAGATGAATAAGACATAAAAAGGCTTTATGACACTGATTTCATTCATACTGTTTCTCACCAGCATGTGTTTTTTTATGCCTGTGAATATTACTGTGATCTGCAAAGATCTTAGCACACTGTATAAAATCAAAGGGTTTCTCTCTACTGTGTGTTATTTTATGCCTTTGAAAATGACAGTGATGTGCAAAGGCCCTACCACACTGATGACATTTGTAGGATTCCTCTCCAGTGTGTATTCTTTTGTGCTTTTGAAAATAATAAGAAATAAAAAGGTTTTACCACATTGATTTTATTCAAACTGTTTCGCTACAGTATTTGTTCTTTGATGTGGGAAGGTCATATGTCAATCTGTTGATTTCATTGGTTAATAAAGAAACTGCCTTGGCCCATTTGATAGGCCAACCCTTAGGTGGGTGGAGTAGACAGAACAGAATGCTGGGAGGAAGTGAGGCAATCGCCATGCCTCTCCTCTCTGGGTCAGATGCAAGGAAGCTCTGGCCCAAGATGGACGTAGGCTAGAATCCTTCCCAGTAAGCCACACTGATGATTAGAAATGGGTTAGTCAAGATGTGAGAGTTAGCCAGTAAGAGGCTAGAGCTAATGGGCCAGGCAGTGTTTAAAGAATACAGTTTGTGTGTTGTTATTTTGGGGCATAAGCTAGCCAGGTGGCTAAGAGCCGGGCAGCAGGAATGCTGCCAACAGCTCTTTCTACAGTTCTTTGATGACATTAGGGTGACTGTGTTATGCAAAGGCTTTACCACACTGATTATGATCATAGGGTTTCTCTCCAGTATGTTTTATGCACTTGATGAATACAATAACCAGGAAAGGTCTTATCACACTGATTACATTCGTAGGGTTTCTACCAAGAGTGAGATCTTTTATGCCTCTTAAGATTACTGTGAACTGCAAAGACCTTACCACACTGATTACATTCATAGGGTTTCTTTCCAGTGTGATCTTTTATGCAGTTGCAAAGTACTCTGCAAAGGCCTTACCACACTGATTATATTCATAAGGTTTCTCTCCAATATGTGTTTTTTTATGACTTTGAAGACCACTGTGCTGTGCAAAGGCCTTCCCACAGTGATTACATTCATAGGGCTTCTCTCCAGTATGTCTTCTTTGATGCAATTGAAGAGTACGGTGCACTGCAAAGGCCTTCCCACACTCATTACATTTATAGGGCTTCTCTCCGGTATGTGTTCTTTTATGATTTTGGAGACCACTCAGCTCTGCAAAGGCCTTCCCACACTGATTACATTCATAAGGCTTCTCTCCAGTATGTGTTCTTTTATGACTTTGAAGACCACTGTGCTGTGCAAAGGCCTTCCCACACTGATTACATTCATAAGGCTTCTCTCCAGTATGTGTTCTTTGATGCAATTGAAGTGTACGGTGTACTGCAAAGGCCTTCCCACACTCATTACATTTATAGGGTTTCTCTCCAGTATGTGTTCTTTGATGCTTCTGAAGACCACTTTGCTGTGCAAAGGCCTTTCCACACTGATTACATTCAAAGGGTTTCTCTCCAGTGTGTGTTCTTTCATGCCTTTGAAGATCACTGTGACAATCAAAGGCCTTACCACACTGATAACATCCATAGGGTTTTTCTCTAGTATGTGTCCTTTTATGCTTTTGTAGATTACTGTGACCTGAAAAGACCTTACCACACTGATTACATTCATAGGGTTTCTCTCCAGTCTTTGTTTTTTCATTCCATTTAAGGTGACTGTCATATGTCAAGGGTTTACCACACTGAAGGTAAACTGAAAGTTTCTCTCCAGTTTGAATTCTTTCAATCCTGCAAGGATAATAGGCACATATAAAAGCTTTACCACATTCAACTAGTTGTGCCTAAACATTTGTATGAATTAATTTTATAATATGTTCCAACTGTAAAAAGGAATCAGATGCTAAGTTTTAAAAACTGTGTCTAAACTCATATTTTGGTCTTTAATTAGGTAGGTACTGTCCTACCTAACTTTGAAGATATCTCCAATGATAAATTCCTTTCTTTTATGGCTTACCTTTTCACCTTCACAGAAACTTTTTTCTATATGATATTTTATATATATATGTGAAGAGATTGAATAAACTCAGAGCTTTATCATTCATAAATTTTTCTATACTGTGAATCATATTGCATTTGCTATGTGAACTAGGACACCAGGAAGTATTGGCACAGTGCTAGAACTCATAGGGCTTTTTTGCAGTGTGAGTTTGTTCATGTATTAATGATGATGGTGGAAAACCAATTACTTGCCTAATGGAATCAAATTCAACAAGTATACTCAATATGGGGACTACTGGTTATCTAAGTGTTCTTAGAGAGTGGTATGCCATATCTCTCTATATCCCCATGCTCGTACACTTGTTTTAAGTGTAATATATGGTATACACAGTAAAGAAGAATAACAAATAAAAGATTTCCACATTGAATTCTCAGGGTTTGACTTGCTGTTCATCACAGACTTGTGGTATAGGTATTAAGGTTTCTCCACAACAACTTGACTTGACTCTAACTGCTCCTCTGACTAAACTTAACACAGTCACAAGAAGTGTATCAGTAATACAAAATTTACTATGAGCTATTGGTTTTAGCAGGAAGTTTTCCAGATATACTTATTATCTCTTCAGTGTGTATACCTTTTGTATTATGAGTAGCAAGCTAGAAATATATTTGAAGATCTGCCACAGAGTTTTCATGGTGCTATGCCTCAAAAGGTGATATCTGTTTAAGCATTGCTTTCTTGACTCCTTTCTTAAGAGAATGTCATTCAAATGCAATTCACATTTATGATATATGGATTTATGAAAAATTAATAACCATCAGTGCACTTAAAGTTGTGCCATTTACACTGTTGCTTCTATTTAAAACTTCCAGGACACATGACAATTTCATCAGAGGCACATTGTTATCAGATGTGCACATGAAAATTACCTTTCATGTCTTCTAGAACATGGACAATGTTCTTCACTATTATGGTCTTCCCAAATGCATCCTAAAACATAATACCAGAAGATGTATGTTATATTATTGAAAATTGTGCAATATTTAAGCTGTTATCTTAAGGGAACCTTAGAACTATGACTGCTTTATTCAACTCATTCTTATTCTTTCTACATCAAATTAGAGGGGGCTGGAGAGATGGCTTAGTGGTTAAGAGCATTGCCTGCTCTTCCAAAGGTCCTGAGTTCAATTCCAGCAGCCACGTGGTGGATCACAGCCATCTGTAGGGGGGTCTGGCACCCTATTCTGTCCTTCAGGCATANTCTTCCAAAGGTCCTGAGTTCAATTCCAGCAGCCACGTGGTGGATCACAGCCATCTGTAGGGGGGTCTGGCACCCTATTCTGTCCTTCAGGCATACAGACAGAATATTGTATACATAATAAATAAATATTAAAAAGAAACAAATTAGAGAAGAATAACATTAATCAAGAAAAAGTTGTCCCCTTATTTGGAAACATGAAGGAAATTCATTTTTACCTATAGTAGCGAGGTTCCTGTAGGTCTCCAGCATCACATCTTTGTAGAGATTCTTCTGGGAAGCATCTAGCAAATTCCACTCTTCCTGAGTGAAGTTGATATGCACATCATCATAGGTCACTGCCCTCTAAAATATTTCATTCATGTGTTTAATAGAAAGTATGATGGTGACAACATTGTAAATGTATACTTCTCTGACAGTATAGTCATAAAATTCCCCACTCTTATTCCATGACACAGACAGACACTTTAGAAGGAAATTGAATAGGAGAGTCACCTCTGTCATTTCTGTACACTTTGAATGGGATGCCACCTTACAAAAGAACTGTCTATTACTAGGGAGAGCTAAGGAAACAGATCAACAGGACATAGTACACATGAGAAAATTGTATGGAAAAATACTAATTACAAAAAAAATACAGTGGACAAACTGTATTGGCTCATGCCTTTAAGCACAGGACTCAGAAAGCACAGGTAGGTATATTTGTCTCTGAGTTGAATGCCAGCCAAGTCTATGGAATCATGTCCAGGACAGGTGGAAGTACACATTAAGACCCTGTCTCCATTGCAAAAATCAGTGAATAAAACCAGATATAAAGAATTCAGAGCTGTGTACTGAAGCTCCTACAAAGAATTATGCATTCACTCCAGTTCTGTATTCATCTTCCAGACATCAGAAGTGTCTTATTTTAATCTGTAATACCAATAACATTTTATGAAAAAAAGATACATTTTTAAAATAATTACAAATGGACAGATGAAAACATTAGCAATATAAATATTGGACACAACTAATTAACACAGGTCTGGAAATATGGCTGAGTACTACTGAGCTCTTCCTGGTCTTGAATAGAGGTGAATAAGAATCCCCAGTACTTACATGGGGATTGCAACTATTTATTATTCCAAGTTCAAGATTCTGAACTGCTGTGATCACTCTGATGACCAGGTACCCATATGTTGCATATCCATGCAGACACATAAAATACTCATATTGAGTAAAAAATATTCAAAGCAAGCATGACAAGCAGGAAGACATTGATGCACCTGCAATTCGATGACTCAGAATGCTCAGGCAGTATTAATGTCATGATTACATGGCACCATGGGAATCAGAATGAAACCCTCTGTCAAATTTAAAATTCAAGCTATGTGTGAAGCTGAACACAGCAGCATGTGCTTGACATGTAAAAAGCCTACATTTCAGGGTCACCAACCAAAGACATAAAAACAAATTAAGCCGTGAATGAAGCCCCCCTCATTTTATTTTGAGGAATTTGGAGCCACACATCAGAGGTTACTCAGACAAGCAAACAAAACAATTAAAACTGCAGGTTACCAAACTCTTTAGCACAGAACAGCAACTGTTTCTTCTATATTTAATGTGATTTACAGATCAAGCCTATAATGATGGTAAAAGCATTTCAGTATGAGTGGGAAGTTGGAAGATTAATATCAACCACAACATAGTAGACATAAAAGTCAGAAAATTAGTTAAGGATATGGAGACTCATCACCTACACTGAGGAATTTCATCTAGAAAGGCCTTTCCTACTAAATGTACATAGGAAATTGAAAGAAAGGCCACCAAGGAGAGAAACTTGTTCAAGTACATGATCTTCTCTGGGAGGTTGTTCATTCAATGAAGGACACTCTGACCCTGGTCACTATTGGTTCATGGTCAACAATGAAAAAGTGTATTCAGTCACTGCAATGATTCTCTTGCAATGATCCCCATCTGCAACTATCCAAAAGTACAAAGTCTCCTCTGGCACCCAAGACAATCTCTTGACAGTAACATCTTATAAATTCCGGGACTGTAACATCTTATATATTCCAAAAGCAAGTTACATCTTCCCAACGTACAATGGCACAAAATACCATTAACATTCCAGAAGAAAAAAATGGAGACACAGTGAGGGAAGATTGGACCATGCCAAGACTGAAGTGGAGCAGGACAAACATCAAATCCTGTAGCTCTCTTGTCAGATGTATGGCTTCAGTTTCAAATGACTTAAAAGGCCCTGTCCTTGCAACTTCTCATGCATTTCTCTCTTTGGTAACTTCCACTCAATATAAGTTGCTAGGTCTCCATGAAAGTTGTGTCATAACTTAGGTATCTTAACATCTTTGGGCTCAAAATGCAACCCAGTGTGTTGTGAAATAACATTTTTAATTGTGTTATATTTGTTTATGCTGTAGAACTTTAGATTTAATGATTGAAATAAGTGCTGCAGTTTTTTATGTTGCATTGGTTTAGCTCTGTGAAGTTGTGAAACTTTGCCTATCTAAAATACCTGGTTGATTTGGAAAAAAAAGCTGAATGACCAATAGCATGGCAAGGAAGGATAGGCAGGGCTGGCAGCCAAAGAGAATAAAGGGGAGGAGAAGTCTGGGAGGAAATGGGAAGAAGAGGCAAGAAAGGGGGAGGACAACAGGAGACATTCACCTAGCTACACAGAAGCCATGGAGTAAGAAATAAAGAAGAGAATTCAGAATAGAGAAAGATGAAGGCCAGAGTGAAAAGGTAGAGAGAACAATTGAGTTAAAAACAACCTGCTTTGAAAGAAGCCAAAACAAGCTAAGGTCAGACATTTATGAGAAAAAATAAGCCTCCGTGTGTGAGATTTATTTGAGAACTAGGTGGCAGGCCCTCAATAGAGAAAAGAGTAAAAGAAGGAACCAACAACACCAGGCTTCAATCCTCACAGCTTCATGCAATGAACTCTCATAGTCTACTCTCTGGGCTTCTGACTCTGCCAAACATAGATGCCTAAAACAATGGTGCACTGTAACTATTAACTAAATATCCATGATCGTAAATTTTGATTCTTTCTTGTTTCCAAGAGCAACACATAGGGGTGATGCTGAAAAGTGTGATTTCTTAATTGTGAAGGACACTAACGAGCTTGGACCACAGGTGCAGAAGGTTTTGAAAGAAGTAGCTTCCTGAGACTACGAATCACTTTGCTCACACCTTCCCTAAATTGAAGGTTTCTGTGGCCAGAGTCTTACCCTTAGGGCACCTTGATAAGTTTCCATTCTATAGCGTGGGCCTTCTCTATAATGGTGATAAACTCCTTGAAAATTTCTGCCTGTTTCAACACATGACTGCTGTCTGAAACTACCTGTTCATTTTCATTAATTTTTGTTCCACTGTGCACCTGAATGAGCCATCAGTGATATCCACTGAATAGATTTGATATTGTATTTAAGATACTAGCCCATTATTTTTTAATTGTGTCTTACTAAATTTCCAGAGCATAGGCAGGAGAAGAAAGATTTGAGCCAAAATATCACACAAATGACCTCAGGATTAATTGCTTTTTCTGGAGCTTATCTATTTCCAACTATAACCCTATGATCTCAATACCCAATTTCTGCCATTACTCCTAAATATATTTCCATTTTCCTGGTCCTACACTCACAGCTAATTATGTTCGGGATTCTATACTTATGTGCCCTTTGAATAAGATATCAACTTACGAGATAAATATCAGTTAACAGAGGGAGAAGGAAGCAGAGCAGCAGTGCACAGTACACAAGAAAATTGAATGAGGAAATACTAACTACTAGAAGGGTAAATAGGATAGAGAAACTGGGTGTATTGACTCATGGTATATTTTTTTTTCATTGTATATTATGAATGAAAAATAAATTAAAAAAAAAACAAAGGAAGGAATATGAGCACAGTTAGGGAAGATTTGACCAAGGTCAGACTAAAACTTATCAGGGCAAACAACGAATCCTGTAGGTCTGTCTCAGGCTGTTAGGACTTCATTCTCAAAGAATCTACATAGTTTTATTTCTGTAAACTTTTATACATGTCTCTATTTTGCTGGTTCCACTCTCTGTCTTTTTTTTTTTATTTATTTATTATGTATACATTGTTCTGTATGTGTGTATGTCTGCAGGCCAGAAGAGGGCACCAGACCCCATTACAGATGGTTGTGAGCCACCATGTGGTTGCCGGGAATTGAACTCAGGACCTTTGGAAGAGCAGGCA